TTAATTAAAGTTGTTCTTTGCATCTTGCTATCAAACGCTTGCTATAATTAAAAATCATATGTGTATATAAGAGAAACCAGGAAAGTTTGTTAAATCAACTTCATCGACTTTTTGTTGAGAGCTTGCCGTCATAGTAATCCAATCCAAAATATACATAGATATAGATAAATACTTTTTAGGATCGACTCTTGCATTTAAAGAAGAGTTTAAAATTTCGTGCAGGGAAAAAGTAAATTAAATAATGTTTTTCTTGATTTCTTTTTATTATTTTTGTTTTTTTCAATGGCATCAAATTTGTCATTAACAATATAAACATAAGTCTTGAGCTCAGTCTAAAAATGCTCGGATATGACTACTTCATATCTGTGGGAAGTTGTTAGACACTCCGACAAATTTAAAATTATATGACAGGCACAGGATTTAAAAAGGAAAAAACAGTAATATTAGACAATAATAATAAAGCACACTGTTTTCCAAAATAAATGGATAAGGATGAGTTTTGTTCTCCGTCAAGACACTTTCTTGATATTGTGTACTTGATACTCATATTTTTAAGCACGCATTGCTAAATGTTAGTCTGCTACTAAGCCCTAAATCGCCGACTTGCTCATTAAATAACTTGGCAGCACTTTCATTTTTTATTTCACTCCTAGCACTCGACACAAGAACAGTGTAATGTGTGAGAAACGATGAGGCTGGTTGGCTCCGCAGAAGCCAACACCTGACTCGAGATTTCAGTTTTACTTTGCTGCTGATGATGATAATGGAGGCGTTTGGCGGTGCTGGTGGAAGTAGTGGTGGATGTGGCAATGGTGGTGGTGGTTTGCAGACGACAACTTGACACGAGAGTGTTGTTGTGCTGCTGACTAGAAAATGGCATTTTGGTTCAGAGTGAAAGCAACAACCACCACCCGAAAACAGGGCCGCCAACTGTGGCCGTAATCGTCTGCACTTGATGTTTGTTTTTCCTAACCTCCTCCTGCCAAAAGCGGGAAAAACTCCGCACGTCTCTTGCTCTCTATGTGTGACTACGACGAAAATTGACGTATAAAGTCAACGCTGCCGTCAACAAAAGTCTCTCAACGCATGACAGCATTTTTAAGGCAGAGATGGCGTCGTTTCTCTATCCATCCATCCATCCAACCATTCAACCGTTCATCCAGCCAGCCATCCAGCTAGTCCACAGCATCGTGTATATGACCCCGTGTGTGTGTGTGGCACGTACAGCATTTAGTATTTATTGTGCCGCTTCATGAGTTTCTTTTTTTCGTTTTGGAGACCGAAAAAAATTCAATTGTATTTTCTTTTCTTCATCTTGTGGGCCTAGACAATTTGTGGCAACAACAAACAGCAGCCTATACAAAAGGTGCAATATCAAATGGCAACAACTGTTGGCAAGCCAAATTATGATAAAACACAATGTTGTGCGCCACAAAGCGGGCAACAGTTTTTGAAAGTGCCACAACTTTATTAGGAGACTCTGAGATAAGCATAACATAATAAAACTCTAGAGGAAAAGTTGTGCTTACAATTGAATAAACTAAAGCTGCTGCCACCTATGAGAAAGTTTACCTATCGATATTTTTGTCAGATTGTAAGAAATTATTTTAAATTTAAATCCCGCTTCGTTAAACATTTTTAATTATCCTCGCTCTAAGAAAAATGTCATAAATTTCCGTACAGAATGCAGTTTTGCTTGCCATCTTGATGAGAAAAGAAATTGCCAAAGAAACAAAAAAATAAAACAGAGCAGCTCTTTCATTATATATCTTGGTGATTTGTGGCACTGTTTTTCCCATTGCCAGGAAATTAGAGAATTGGCACACACACACACACTCACTCACACACAAACACTTATACACACTGCTCAAACAATTGTGTGTGGAAAGCTAAAGAAATTAGAAAGCAAACCGGTTGCCAGACAGAGTTGGCATTTAGATGCGAGTTAATTAAAAGAAAACTAGTTACGACTGTGCGTATGCCTTTTAAAGTTTGCCACCACCAAGAAAAGTCATTAAGAGCGAGCTGTTGCCAAGTGCAACCGCCGCATACACTGCGTATGATTGATAATGAATCTGCAGCAGGAGCTTTGCAGAGTCAGAGTCGAAGCTGGAGTTGGAGTTGGAGTCGATTCCAATGCGGCGATGTCTTCTTCTTGGCAACGTTTCGCTCGGCATGCAATGCAAACAATTTACAATGCATGTAACGGAACTTATTATTTCATTGCCCTTCCCACTGACTGTCTGCCTCTGTCCATCCGTCTGTCCGTCTATCTGCCTGTCTGCCTGTCTGCTGCCAGCTGTGGTCTGTGGCGCAGTCTTGCCACACAAATTCACAGCAGGCAACCCCCTGGCGACAGCTTCAGGCTGGGCTGGGCTGGCTGGCTGTCGTCCGTCTTTGGCGTATTCTGGTCATGTGTTGTGTGTGCTGCCTCAATGCCACCTCCGGTTCACACTACTCCCAGGGCTTGATATTTAGACGTGTACAGTGTGTGCTCTGACTCTGATTCTCTGACCCTGACTACACTCAGAAAAAAATCGACCTAAAAATTAGTAAAGCTCCCCAAAATGAAAATCACCCTAATATTATTTTGAAAATATTTTCAAGATATTAGGAAAATATTTCTAACATTTTGTAGGCTTGCCGTAAATCAACAAAATTCGGGTACATTAAAACATTTTTAAAAGTGATAAAGTAAATTAGAATTTTTAGAAAAAATCTTTTACAAAATGCAATACATTTAAGAAGTGTACTTTCTGAATAATAGGTAATTGGCGAAAAGTATGGCGTTTTATTAAACTATAGGGTGACTTTTTTCCGAGTGTATGAGTCGAAATCAAACCATCTCTTTGGGTATTTCTTTTTCATTTCAAACAATTGTCATACCTGTGCCGCAATTCACATTTTTATGGATTGTACGCCAGCATTCTATGGGCAAAAATGTAAGTTCAAATGTGAAATATGCAAGCAATTGGTTTAGTTTGACATTCGTAATTTGCTTTATTTGTGATTGCAACTGGAACTGGAACTGGATCTGGCATTGGCCTGGCCTTATGATGAATTCACAAAGTTGTGACATTCTGCCAAAAAGTTGACTCAAGTTTTTCTTGAATGAAGAAGATGAATGTTCTCTGTATATGGTGCAGAATAAATTATGAATACCTACCCAGCCGAACAAGGGGAGCATATTAAATGTGTATGTGCTTTCCAGCAGGTGAGGCCACGGAGGAATACAATATGAATGTCTGGGCTGAGAAGTACGCCCAAAAATTATATTGTCCAGCAAATGATCTCTTGAAGAAGCTGCAAAGACAAAAAATAACTTGGAATTCTGATATCCTTGCCAGCAAAAGTTGTTTTAAAGTTTGTGGCATGGCGTCCAGCAGACTTTGCATTCATCGGGCACCTTTGTGTTGAATTAACAAAGCCAGCTGACTTAAAATTAATTGTGAGCTTGTCTTACTTGCCACACAAAGATTACTGAAATACAGAGTTTAAACGATGTAAATATTTCCATTGCTAGATATATATTAATATTTCGATGCAATCAATAAATGTTAATTGTTAAAAAAAGCAATGCAATTTAATTCCGGTTGATTGAATAATTATGTTTTTATTTTAAGCTCCGTCTTTAAAGTAGGGAATCAACTAAAAATTGTTTGGCTGGCATTTGTCTCGTTGTCTTGTTGCTGAAAGTGCCGCAAGCTGGGGCACTAGTTATTGTCACACCTGGACAGCGTTGCCGATTTGCATATTTGTACAGAAACATGGAAATATTCATGTAAATAATTGGGCGTGGCAGCTGTTGCTGGGACTGCCTGTTGGCTCTGGCTATCATTGACTCCCTTGTTGTTGTAGTTGTAGTTGTTGTTGTTGTTGTTGTTGTTGTTGCAGTTGGAGGAGTCGAGTAGCAGTCATGTCAAAGTAAAGTGCACGCGGGCAGCCAAATTATGCGCATTTATTTATACGCTAATGCTTTTTACAGTTGCGACCCGCATAAGTTTCGCGACAAGCTGTGTGTGTGTGTGTGTGTGTATAGACTTTATTCTATCTCTAGGCTGAGTTGCCGTTACATGGGGAATTAGTGTGCATAATTTCATAAGCAACAACGACAACGACAACATCAGCTGAGCAAGTCGCTGCTGTAGCAGCCATCGCGTTGGCCTGTGCAAATATTTTGGAGCATTGCCTCCCCCTTGAACCAGAACCCGCAGCCCCCAGAAGCTCCTTGGGGAAATGTTTTCGCTGCTGCTGTCTCTGCCAGCGGCAAACATTCAGAATCATATGCGAAGTCTGCATGTAAAGTTATGCTGGGAATTTGCTTTGCTTACACGGAAAAAGTAAGCGAATAAATAAAAAAATAATATTTAAAAAAAAAGCGAAGCAAGAAAAAAAATAAACTGAAATAACATTGTGTGTTGTTGTGTGTAATGTGTATATGTTTTATATCTGTACTAAATTGCACATGATGTGATTTCAAGCGTAAGAAATGCCTTCGCGGCGGCAAGGGGAAAACCATCGATACTATATTCACATGCATGTGTGTGTATGTATCTGTATGTGTGTTTATGTATCTGTATGTGTGTGTGTGTATGTATGTGTACTCTTGTTTGTCCCATCCGCACTGTGGAATATGCATATAAAAACTTGGCGCAGTTTCAAAGTTGTGTTCCGAGCAACAAAAAAAAAAAACAGCAAAACAAAATTTCATATCAAAATTACAACAACGCTCACGAGACTTTTGTTGTTGTTGTTGTTACTGCTGTTGCTGTTGGGATTACTCGGTGAGCAAAATGCCGGAAGCCAGAAAAATGCCTGGCAAGTTGACTCGACTCGACTCAACTCAACTTAAGTGGACTGAGCGGCAATTTGATTAAATGCATTGCGCGAATCTTACAAAATAAATTACCTAATTTCAAAATATGTGTATATGAAACAGTCACAGATTCCAAATGCTTACAAATAATTTATGAATTCCGTTTCTCTTTGTCTCTTTGCAGTGCAACAACTAAATACTACCGCTAAGCAACAGTATTTTCGCTCAACATTAAAATAATATTACTAATCATACAATACTAATAATTTAATGCAAAATCTATATAGCAGTGATTATATGTTGCATTTTTGAAATAAATAAAAATAAAAAAAACCTAAAACAATAATCAAGACAAACCACAAGAGACGAAGATTTGAAAAGAACGCAGCGAGCTTAAGCCAACAAAGTAAACGTAGTACGATTAGTAAAAGACACCACCAATTTAATTTGAACAGAGATTAAGCAATCACAATAAATACACAAGAAAGACATACAAATATATATGTATTAGCCAAAAACTCGAATCGATGTCTGTGTGCATTATATTTTAATCATACATGTACAATATACTCTACAAACAAGTATATTTACAACATAAGCCATCAAATTGCAGCTAAAAGACAAGTAGTAGGAAAAAAGAGAACAAATCGACCGCTAAATCGGTCAACATTTTGCTGAACAGCATATTCATATAAAAAGACAAAAGTCAAACAAAACATAAAGAAAATGGAGGACAATAACACAAGCGGCAGTGCGAGCGGTGCGCCCATCAAACTCGAGGATCCATCGGTGACACTCACAATAAGGCTGATTATGCAAGGAAAGGTAAGTCACCTGCCCGTCAACATAATTTATATATTTCACTGTAATTTAATCATGTTTTTCGCAGAATTTCAAGTAGTTGTTTTTTTTTTGTGTATATGTATTCTCCGACACATTTGAAATCCCATTGTGGGAGATTCTTAGCGCCCGTCCAGTCAGCTGTGTGAATAATATTAGCTAGGGCAATTTTTCGTCGGTTTCTTGATCTTCGGAGTTTTTTTTTTATGACATACATATATGTAAACAAGACAGGAAACTGTTACCAATATAAATTGTTAAATATTTATTATTTTTATATTATATGCCTTTTGGGATTTTGAGAATTTTTTACACAGGAAAAAAGGAAACTTTTATAGACACATGAGAAAAACGTAAGCTTTAACGGTAATTCAAACCTGTGAGTTAATTGAATCTCAATTGAGCTAACATAAGAGTCGTGAGAGCATTCTTGGATTGCATTTCTACTTTTCAGAAACATTTTCTATTATTAAAAACTATATTTCTCAGAATAATAATAATAAATAATAGGAATAACGGCTTTCTGTTTTTAAGAACATTTTTTTTTTCGTATATTTAGTAATTATTTTGTACAAAAACAAGAAATACTTTATAATATTTAGGGAATTTCGCATTTTTTGGCGATTTTTTTTATGAGTGTATGTTAAATATTTATTTATTATTACGTAGGACTTGAGATGTTTAAATTTCGTTTATAATAATCTCAAGTGAGGCGCAAGTGAGGCTCTTAAGTGAGTTGGGAGCTTTAAAAGTAAATACAGACACACTGCCTAACTGAGGACAGACTAATGTTGTTTTCACAGTCGAGTCTTGCAGGCTTGCCAATCAGTTTAAGCACCAGACGCCCTCCGGCCAGCCCCACGCCCAAATAGAGACACAATTTGTTTGAGAACTTCTTAGCTTTGGGGCTCTTTGTGAAATGTAAAATGTAAATTTTGAAGCCCACCTGTATTAAACGTGTAAGCCGTAATGCTTGCCATCGAATTATGTCATTTTAAATATTAATGGGAATTTTCCCAAACCATTCCTTATCAATAAAATGTAATACAGTATGGGAGAAAGAGAGAGAGAGCCAGATATAACATAAAAGGTTGCCCGGTAAAAAAGTAATTAATATTAAAAATGAATGCGTGCATTTTTTATGTAAATTAAAATTAAACACGCCACACTTCACGCGTTGTTGCGAACTGAAGAAAAACAGACAGAACCGAAAAAAGAAGGAAATTACTGTACAGCTCAATATATGTAAATAAGCAAAAACCAAAAATATAATATTTAAAGTCATAAAATGCAAAGCATGCATTGGCTATTAAATAATCATTACAGCTCGCAAATATGAGCAATAAAAACAGAAACGCACCAGTAACTGGCATAAACATAAAAACCGCAGCTCATCAGTGCCGAAACATATGTGGATATTTCAAGATACACACACACACACACACACAAGGATATTTATGTATATTTTAAACATTTCTACCAGTTGGAGGAATACAAAAATAAAGATAGTACAAAACACTCATCATGCATAATTAACTATATTGAATCTCAAATACAGATGGAAATATGTAATTAATGCTATTGAGATATGTAATAAAAAACATTAATATTTGAGGAATATTATTAATTAGCTGTATATTAATTTACTGCACTTTTTGTTGAGTTAGTGGGAAATGCAAATAATTTAAATGAACTTAACTGCAATATGTATTCAATAAAACAATTCAATATAATTCAAATTGACGGCAAAATAATGTAATAGAAAACAGTTTTATGAATTACACATTTTGCAGTCAGAGATAAATGTAAATTTATTTGTAGCTAAAAATAATCAATTAGATTTGATGCTGACTGGAAGCTTTTTAAGATCTATCAGCCATAATAAACTCAGCTGACATTAATAAGACATATATCTGATAGCCATGTGTCAAATTTCTCGAAAATTAAAATCCATAGCTTTAAGCACAAATCCGCGCTTAAATACCTGCTTATTTATTTAAGCATAGTTGCTTAAAACAACTATTTGCGCAGAATTAGCTGCAATGGGTAAAAAGAGACAGCATTCAAAAGCTGTCTGGTGACTCTGAGCTGTCGGCGGTGCCAGCTCAGCCCAATGTGGGGTAATCTCGTGTCGTTAATCTCGCTTCCCATTACTTAAAATCCGATTTGTGGCGACGACGACTCTTGAGTGCAAATTGCGCATTTGAAGAGTGTGACCTGTCTTTGATTTAAATATAAGTACGAGCATGTTATTGGCTGCTGCTGTTGTTGCCAACTTATGTGTGTTGCACTGAAAGGCAGCGACAGGTGCAACACCCGTCGCAGATAAGCCGACAGAGCAACGCAGGGCGCCAAGAAAGAGAGAGAGGGAGAGGGAGAGAAAGAGAGAGCGAGATACAGAGATCTACACATTACATGATGTGTAGTTGAAAATTGGCAAAATTGCAAAAAAAAAAAATATACAAAAAAAAAACGAAAAAATTTGCAGACAATTTATAACAAAAATAGCAACAGACAGACGGCATTTCTTTGGGTTGGGGGGTAGTGGGGGATTGTCGGAGGTTCGATCAACGACAGTATCCGTGAATAATTGCACACTTCTCGGCCCCAGCTAAATAGCAGCGCCAAAAACTAAAATTAAGTGTGCAAATATGTAAATATATACATACAAGTGTTTTTGCACATTTCGCATTACATACGTTTTGTGCTTTTCGATTTTGATTTTATTTACGCTGCTCTGCACAAGGATTCAGGCAATAAATTCTCAAGGCGCTTTGAAAAGCGCCGACTTGCCTCTTTGCCCCTTTGCCCCTTGTGCCTGCCACCCATCTCCATGTGTGTATTGCTCTCTTGATCGATAGTTATAGATTAGCGTGATTTATGAGCTGCCGCCACCATCGTTGTCTGCTGTTGGCCAAGTTGACAAATCCACAAATCCACACACACATGTGCAAAATATGTAAATATATTTTTAGCGCAGTGCAAATCAACTGGCAAATAACAAAAACAAAAAAAAAAAAAAAAGAAAAAAAAGAAAAGCAAACCTGAGTGGAAATAAAGTAAATTTTCAATTGACAAGAGCTTTGAGCATACAGCGTTGAATTTACACAAGCAACATCCGTGTTGACTTGTGTAATTGAGCATGCAACGAACGTAATTGTCTGTGTACGAGTATATCTGTTTATAACTCTAGCAATATCTGCGACCCTTTCAGGATAAACATTCGGAATAAACTGCTTATATGGTGGAGATGAGATTATTAATGATATGGGCATAAATGGGTTTCCTAAACTTGTCACGAATTCATAATGGGCAAATAAGAAAATTTGGCCAGAGTATTTTAACAAACCTGTTTGTATATATAAGTATAAAGAGCATTAATGATGTATCGGGTTGAAATAATATATGTTGTTTGCCAACAAGAGTTGAGGTAGGTCTCAAGTTACTCAATAGAAATGAACATGTCAACTCACAATGAATAATTAAACTCGTTTTAAGCACATTCATTTTAATAAATCATCATTCATTAGTTGACTGCCCGGCTCTTTTCGAAGTAATTGTCTATTTAACAAGCACAAATACAATCACAAGCAATATGTGCAATAATTGTACATAAATATTTCAACTTTAAATAATATGCAATGCATTCTCTAAACATATTTATTCATATATGTTTCGTTAACAGACTTTTAAGTTCAGAAAACATAACAGAAATAGGTGCAAATTTATTGTGCCATAAAGCTGTTCTCACGATTGCTTAAGTAAAGCAAAGTAAATTACACAGTGTTTTCATATAGAACTGTCTGTCGGTATGAACAACATTTCATTTAGAGTGCATAAATAAATCAGTTAATTATAATTAGACAAGCGGCTGTCAAGTATGGCGCACCGACCACAAAATTCGCATTCAGATGCCGTATTCCACTGCTCTATGCCAATTTCACTAATTAAAAATGCATGATTCAAAAACAGAAACAAAAGCAGCAGCACAGATACGCAGACAGACATCGGACAATTGCAAAATACTCGATAATTCTCTGCGAGAGTGCAACCCACTTTTGGCTAGTGTTCCTATGCAATTTACGTCTGGCTGCCAACAGGCAAAACCAACAGCAAACAGCAAACAGCCAAAAAACAAATGCGACAACGAAACTTAGCCGAAGAAGGCAAAATACCAAAGCCTAAACAACCCAAAAGGTGCAGGCAGGTTTTTTGCGCTTTATATTATCTAGTACAGTAGAGTCGTAGTCGACTACATGTTGCAGCATATATTTGAGACAATTCCGGAAATTTATTCAATAAAATATTTGAAATAGTTACTAATTTTCATTGGTCTTCAGTCTTCAGTTCATTAAATTCCGATTTTCTACAATTTCATTAAACTTGTGCTTAATGCACACATTTTTTAATTATTTATTCATAAGTTAAATCCAAGGCTAGATCGTTGTCATCATCTTTGAAATATTCACAAATGAGCTTTTGTTTGAACGAGTCCCACCTGAAACTCAACTTAAAAATAAAATAATGAATTGTTTGACGTTTACTAAGCTCCAAGCTAGAATAGTGTACTTTGCTAAAACAATTGTAAATCATTGTTATATCCAGCGGTGGCCAATCTATATTGATTTATCTCTCTAGATTTGTTGATCTTTTTCTTACAACAGCTTTTCTGTACTCTACTTTGAATTAGCTTATTATTTCAAGGTCCGCTTAGGCTCCCCTCCTCTTAATGTAGTTAAAATATTTACTCATTTAATCAAAACTGTAAATTAATCAACTCTATCGAATTCCGGTTTTTACTGACATAAAGTTAATCAGAATGTTCTTTTAATCTGAGTTATTTTCATATAGCTGTATTTTACGATTTTGATTTTTAATTCTAGTTCCTGTTATTCAAAATATCAAAGAAAGACAACGGGCTCAATGGGTATTTCCAATTTCTAATTGCGATCATTTTTATTTTATTAACCTATGATCTTTAAGTC